CATCATAGCTTAAGAGCTTCAATATAATAATAATTTAGCCTTATCTTCCTAAACACTGTCCGAATACCCGGCAACTAGCTTCAAAATTAAAGCTAAACAGAAGCTGACTATACTAACTAATTTTTCGTATTTAAGTAGAGTTTCGAGACTACCAGTAAATCAGTAATATGAGATGTATTCACCCTATTTCGTTTAAAGTGATGAAGGACTCGTAGTTGAATATTTTCACAATGATATGACGTTTCCATTGAATTTCACATAGCCTTACTTTCCCAAAGGTTGTTCTTGTCCTGGGTGTACTGCAGTTTCGACCTCTCATCGGTCTTATCAACAACCCCAGCGGGAGTCGAGCCATGACAGTGCAGAATGTGAGCTTGACACGTTAGCCACTCGACTCCCGCTTGGAGTGTTGATAAGACCGATGCAAAGTCGAAACTACAACCCACCCTGGTTGAGAACAACTTTTGGGAAATCAAGGCTATGTGAAATTGGGTGAAAACGTCAGCTATACTCATATGATTGTGGGAAAATTCAACTACCAGTCCTTCATCACCTTAAACGAAATAGAGTGAATACATCTCACAAACTAACTAAGCCTCAAGCTGTGGGCCCATGAGATGGAGGCTTTACAATGCATTCTGCCTAAATACTTTGCAAAAGTTTTCATAAATCGCCAAAATCTGTTCAATACTTAATGTATCCTATGATAATAATAGCCTATTTACTTAAAAAAAAGAAAATGCACCTAAGATAAACCTCAAATTATTTGTCCTATTCTCTTTACTCTAAACAAAGGCCAGGATCGTTGTCATTGGTAGCCCATTAAAAAATCACCTCTTTGCCACTAATTGTTTTTGTTATAAATGTGTAGAGCCTAACAGAACTTCCTATTTTCCCTGATACAAGTATTTCCTGTAAGTCTTTCTGCTGAAAATGGCTTTATCGCATTTCGAGAATTAGTTAAAAAATAGTAATAACGAAAATGGCTTTAGCTAGGAATAAAAGCCAGATTAGGCATAGAATCCTGAGATGAGAACGCATTTTATGAAAGAAAGACTATGTGAAATGCATTGGAAACGTCAACTCCTCTCATATAATTGTGGGAAAATTCCACTACTAATCCTTTATCACTTTAAACTAAATAGGGTGAACACATCTCATATAGACAATTCTGACACTAAATTTGTGTCATAATTTAATTGAATTATTCTATAATCAAGCATAATCTCCCTTCTTATGCATAATTGTTTGGCTAAAAAATAATAGCAATAAAATTTGTTTTCCTTTGCTATTAAAGAATCAGGAATTTTAAAATGTCCTTCTATTTACATTACTGTAGCACAGAAGAGATTTCTAATCCAGTTTTTGATGGCCCTTATGAACATATCTGTTGCCTGAGGGTACGATTTTTTATATGAGGTTATTGGTCGTATAATTCGTTTATCAAAACATTAATAAACGATAAGATGAGCAACTCGGTAGAATCCGTTAGTCGGAAAAACAACGATTGTTTAGAGAATCTCTGAAAGCAGAATCAAACGTATTGGAGCAAGCTAGTTGAAGACGTGGGATGAAGAATCCTCGTCTCACAAACCACTCAACTCCGAACTATCATAACTCGGCCTCTGAGTCAAATAAGGCCATGCTGCTATTTCAACTTGGACCCGAATCGGCAATACGAATATGTTTTTTGCAACTTTCGGCACCAAATCAACTCTGCTACGAATCAGCCTCTACTACCAACCACCGATTTTGATCCATTTCCGTACCCACATGCTGGGCTGGTTCCTGCCAAGCCGGACAGGTCCAGTAAACAGGGTAGGGACGAAGCTGGTCGAGGACTCCGAAGGTTGAGTTGGATTTAGTCCACATTTTGGGCAAAACGTAATCGACACGTAAGCATTTCCCCACGAGGGATAGACTTTTGTATGCTACTTGCACTTAATCAGTTGCTAAGCTCCCACAAACCTCAAAAGAGTCCAAACTATTTCGCGCACTTTTCTGTATCCAACTACGTCTTATCGACGATGATTATTACGTCAGTTTACCTAATTAGCAGATGCTAATGTAACGACTTAGTGTTGGATTTTCCTTGCTCTTTGGGGGGCAAAGCTGTGTGAATTTCTTGGCATCTTGAGGCCTACTAATCATTTCATTCTGGCAAATTAGGCTATTAAACTTTACGTCACTTGAAACGAACTCGGATGATTCGAGCTCATATTCAAGTTCTACTAATAGTAAAGCTGATGGCATTTAGAAGTCTGCTTTATCAACAATATCTTTAGTAAACATGTAAATTACGAGTGACTATGTTTCACTTGAGAGTCCTCATTTTATGCGTTTTCGCACTATCTATCGTTGTTGCACTACTGAGTGGTACCCTGCAGCGTGACGACACAAAATATGTATCAATCCCGTTAGAGGTGATGATACTTCCGTTTAGGGGCCAAAATTTCATCCCAGGACAAATGGGAAAGCTTTCCGGAGAGAGAGCTAATGAATTTACTGGCTAAGGGGTTTAAATTCCTATCATAATGTAAAGTTCAACTGTCGGTCCCCATATCATCTTCAGCCAACTCAGATGACATTAGTTACTATCCAAAATCTACGGATAGTCACGAAACATATTCACGACGAATGGGAGACAGGCTTGAATAAGAATTTATTCAGCTTTTATCCGTAAAATTGATTCAAGAACAGTTAATTGAGTCTTTCCATAATCACATAAGTAGGCTTTACAATACCATTGCATGCCATTTGGACCTGCTTTGCAAAGAGGCCTTCTCATCCAGTTTGGACCTCGCCCAAAATGGTCTCACCAGCGTCATCAACGTGAATCGAAACGGGGTTGTGAGTATGATGACCATGATCGTAAGTGTCTCACATTTATAGTGGGATTGTCGATTGAGCAAACATGTATTTGCCATTCAAGTCAACGATGTTACTTATTTCAGATGCAAGTAGTTTTGAAGACTATCAATAATTCCGGCATGAGAATTTAGCCAACCAGGCTTATTCATCTTATAGATACGAAGAGAAACTTGGTTTCGATGAATCTCCTGAGATATCTACAATGTACGTAAGGTTTGACTTCTTGTCATTTGTCTTCTCGCTACACTTCAACCAAGAAAACTATATCCCGGCAGATTAATAGAATTAGATTTTTTAATGTTGTTCCTAGGTGTTGTTTACTCGGTAGACGTTATAATCTACCAACATCCACAAATATGGAACTTGATCAGGTATCGTTTGGTTTAGTTAAAACTAGGTTCAAGGAAAGCATTACCAAACTGCACGAACTAATTAGAACCAAAACTAATCATAAACAATCTCTCTCTGAACTATCGAATGATGTGGATTTCATTAAGTTACAAGACATGGCGATTTGCAGAACTACTCGTCGGATACATGATAAGAAGCTCCGGAATTTAGGAATTAGAATAAAGTCGAGAAACTTTGCCCCTAAGAAAAATGTTACTAACAATGGTTGTAACAAAGTGGGGAAGGATAAGGTTATCAATTTATCTAGTACCACTCTGGAGGATAGTGTAGTACTTTTATTGGAAAGAGGACTGAATTTTCCTAATCGTTTCGAGCTTACTAACAACTAATATCAGTAACATCGTTCAGCTATAAGAAAATGGGACGCATTGGCACTCGCAGCTGTTTAGCAAAATGGTACCTAATTTAGATCCCGTTGGAGCTGCTGTTGAGACTGATAAGATTGATGATGATGATGATGATAGAACTGCAGTCCATCCTGAATAATAAAACATTTTGGAGGCAAGGCTAGGTGCAATTAACTGGCATCGTGAGGCTTTCTTGTCCACTATCAGTCCCCTAGTTACCTCCAGTCGTCATGAGTTAAGTATGTTAATATGTTTACATTGCATATTTTTCGATCATTGGGTCCGCATGAACTGTTGAATATCACATGGAAGAGTAAAACGCTAAAATTGGGCTTGAGATTGTACGGTACAGGAAATCTCCAACATAGGTTTTATCAGAAATATTAGCTATTTCCCAATATCCCGCCCAATAAGAGTTTACAATTCAAGTTTATCGAGGGGTTGCTACTTTTTCCTCATAAATTGCGCCAAAATGTGGGCAAACTGAAATGGTAGCAAGGCATTCTGCTCAAAAGCGACCAAGCGACCAGACCTTCGGACACCCGCCAGTGGAGAAGAGTGGAATGTACATGAGGCTGAGGCACCAGGCTTTGCACAAGTGGAGTAGGATGAATTCAACCTATCGCCATGACTCGTTTCTATTCACAGGGCCCAGTGCCTCAGTTGCCTTCAGCCAGTTGCCAGGGCACCGATGTTCAGGTCTCGAACTCGAAAGCAAGCATGTAGCCTATCCGGTGTCGAGGTCAAGTGTCGAGTTCAGAATACATGCCCGTCTGGAGCCAAGCTAGGTCTATTCATCAAGTTACAATTCGCAAAATACTTGGTCAACTTGAACGTTAAGTAGACAAGGAAATCGCATATACCGACTTGGAACTAGCGGCGTCAAGTTGCTTGTTGACATGGCAAAGAG